TTTTAAAAAAATTAGTCTAAGGTCTCTCTCTCATATTTAGTAATGGAAGAGATCCACAATTTTATTTTATAATGTCTAAGGTCGCTCAACTCCCACACCCATATATCACAGAGAAATTTGACTCTCGAATCAAACTTCATTTCTCTTTATCAAAAGTCGTGCATTTTACTTGTGTGTGTGTGTGTGTGTGTGTGTGTGTGTGTGTGTGTGTGTTGGCTTCAGCTAACGGCTTCTCTCGACACAGATGTCACCATGGTTCCAATCGGCGGTGACGGCTCAGGCGTCGCCGGACCATCGTCCTCCACCGCCTCAACATCGTCTTCCTCCAAGAAGGCCAAGCGATTCGAAATCTAGCCGTGCATTTTAATTTATATATATATATATATAGGTTGCCGTGCATTTTAATTTATATGTATATATATATATAGGTTGCTATTGTTGCTTATTCACTCAATGGAGTGAACTGTTGCTAACTTTTATCTTGCTTTTGAATCTAACCTGACAATAATCCAAGTCATAAACAAAATTGACCAGCCAACTACTGATCCAGATCGTGTTAAAGCTTAGCTAAAATCCATGTTTGACCTTGACCCAAGTGATTGTCTTTTGACATCTGCCAAGACAGGTCAAGGTCTGGAGCAGGTCCTTCCTACTATCATAGAGCGAATGCCTCCTCCTCCAGGGAACTGTAATTCATCTTTGCGTATGCTTTTGTTGGATTCTTATTATGATGAATACAAGGGAGTGATATGCCACGTGGCAGTTGTTTACAGTACTTTGCGCAAGGGTGATAAAATTTCATCTGCAGGAATTGGTCAGGTCTTTGCTTTGAACTGAAATTTCTCTAGATTGGTCCACAGAAATTTTCTGATTTGGATTGAAATTTTCTCTAGATTGGTCCCTGGTATTAAGATTTTTCAACATAGAGTTTGTCATTTATCTTATTTCCTTCGTCAACCTCTATGTCATGCTACGTCTCCAAACCATCCCTTGATATTGAATCGCAAGCTTTGCCCTTCATGATCAGATCTCTGTTGTTTGTCAGAACGGTGTGCTCACTGAATTTCTCTGGAGCAGAATTTCTCTGGAGAGAAATTCCGAAGTGCAAAGAAAATTGGTCAAAACACAGACAATCCAGAGAAATTCAGAATTTCTCTAGAGAGAAATTCCGAAGTCCAGAGAAAATTGGTTAAAACACGGACAATCCAGAATTTCTCTAGAGAGAAATTCCGAAGTCCAGAGAACTTCTCTGGATTGAATTTTCTCTGGAGAGTAATTGAATTTTCTCTGGAGAGTAATTCTCTGGATTGAATTTTCTCTGGATCAATGTTGAAAGATCTTAGATATTATGAAAATATTTAGTGTGCTTTATGCTATAAAATCTTAATACCAGGAACCTTAAAAAAAAATCTCCTAAACTTTTTTTTGTTTCTCTTTCTTCTTCTCACTTTTGGCTATTACTATATAAAAATTACAGCCAAGTGAAATAAATTAACAATTTTTCAATTTATTCCTTGGGTTGTAAGCATGGAAACTTTTTCATCTGCTCAAGCTCTTCCATGGTTTAGGAGAGCTCATGGACGTACATCAACCAAACATTAAAGACCCCTTTGAATGCACCCACTCATTGAAGGCATTTATGCTGGGTATCATGAGAATAATCATGAAAGATTCTCCACCGTTAGATTATACATACAAGAAAATATCATACACTAATCAAATGATAAAAAATCTTCATAAAACATTTCATGATATTTTTATTATGATTTCTAATATTATTCTGAAAGGAAACCAGACTACAATAATACTATTATACCAACTAGTTAGTAGCCCTAAAGCTAAAGAACTTTCTATTATTTAAAGAAAAATATTAAATCAGCATAATGTTTATACAAAATTTATTATAAAAATGATATGATAGTGACATATTTAAAAATCAAAAATGTTTGGGACCCCCAAAATTGGGGATTCCATGACCCTTAAAATGATGTGAACTAATCATATATTTTTGTTTTTTTATTTTTTTTCTTTCCTTCCTAGACTAATCACAAGTGAGTGGGGCTTGTGGGGATTATGTTTTTTGGAAGTTTGTAGCATTGTTGATTTAAAAATGAAACTACCTAATTGAATATTTTATTTCAAAATGAAAAATCCACATTAAATGATGTGGAGTTTTGGTGGGCTTTGACAACTAAGGTCATAAAACTTATAATGAAATGTTTTACTTAATTTTCTTTCTCTATCTTTTTTTCTTTTTGTTTTGAATCATTTGGATTCTTTTTTTAATAGCCCTTATTGAAAGAAAAAAAAAAAAAATCTATTTCGCTAATGTCATGGATGGGTCCAATTTTAGAGTAAAGTTCAAACTTTATTTTCTAGTTCGGTAAACAATCTAGCCAAATTTTACAAAGGTTTCGTTTGGGAAGTTGTTATTTTAATAGGCTATTTTAGTTTTTAACTATTTTAGTAGGCTAAAATTTTTGTGTTTGGAAAGATAATTAAATTTTTTTGTGGTTAGATGTGATGTTTGTGAGAGAAAAAATGAAATGATAATGAGTTTGATGTGATATTTTGTCTTATTAACTATTTTAGCCTATTTTATCTTTTTATGAATTTTAACCTAAACTAAACTATTTTTTTTCTTGCCAAACACCCCTAAAGCTGGACTCGAATCAATTTATTTAGAGCCCTAAACATAGCCATTTAGGTGTTCTTTTAACATCCAACCAAAAGAGTCACTTTTTTTAAAAAAAAAATTTGCTTTTAGTTTTTTTTTTTTTTTTTCCAAACTTGTGTGAATTTTTTAACTTTTTTGGTCCGTCTAATACAGAAGAATCTAAAGGGTTAAAAAAAAATTAAAAAGTTTACTAAAGATAAAAAAAAAAATTTAAATCAAAAAATTAATTATTTTAATTATTTTTTTGCTTTTACTGAACTTGTTTTAATTAATAATTTTTTATTTACTTTTGTGGTTCACGTAGATTTTAAAAGTCTAATTTTTTTTTAAAAAAAAATCACTAAAAAAATAAAATAAAATAACAAAAGTTACTATAAAAAAAGTCAATCCGAATTAGTTTTATTTTCAAAAAAAATTAGGATAAATTATATTTGCCTTCCCTGCAGTTTAAGAAAAATACAGTAACTCTATATTTTTGACATAATTATATTTTGGCATCCCTTAAGATTTTAATTTACATAGCAATTAGGTCATTTTTAATTAATAATTCGTTAGTTATATGAATGAAAAAAATAATAATAATATTGTCATTTCTTGTCTACTAAAATTAGGGGTGGCCACGGTTCGGTTTTGGACTGCTTGCGGGTTGGATTGGACCAGCCTGTATATATGTGGTTTGGGGAAAATTCAACCCACAACAGCCCACAGTGCGGTTTGCGGTTTGTGCGGATGGGGTTTGCGGATATACAGGCAGTTTGTAGATTGGATTTTTTTCTTAAAAATTTTATTTTGGAGCCTTTTTTCCCCATTTTGTAAATATTTATTTTGGGTCATTTCCCCCCCCCTCATTTTGAAAAATCTTCCAATATTAATAATTAATGAATTAAAACTTATAAAATTAAAAACACAACAAAATCAATTCTAAACACAAACAAATCATTCAAAAGCCTAAACTTTTAAATAATATCATAAACTAAAACAAGCACATCTTTCAAAATCCTAAACTAGATCATCAATTTCATTCACTATTTACTACCCAACAATATACAATTAAAATAAAATCATTCAAAATCCTAAACTTAACTAAAAATAATTCTTTATTAACTTTTACATTCATCTAAAATGAAATAATAAAATAACAACGGTCCAAGGTTTTTAAATAAATAAATTAAAAAAAAAGGTCTAAGTGTATGTGGGTTATTGTGGGTGCAGGTCAAACCCACAATCATGCTATATTCCAAATCGCATCCGTCTGCATTGTGTCTGCGAAACCGCTCATTTCCATGCAAATCGATTCGGATTAGGCAGTTCGAATAACCCTAGACCTAACCCTAACTAAAATATATATTTATTTTTATTTGTTTCAATGTTTAGTTACCATATGCATTAGTTTTAGACAATTTAGCCTTGCTAAAGGAGAATCAATGTAATTATGTCAAAAGTAAGGGCTAACTCTATATTTTTTAAACCTCGAGGAGGTGAGTGTAATTTACCCACAAAATAAATAAATAAATATATAAAAAGGGCAAATTACAAACTAACCCTTATAGTTTTGCAAATTACAAATATTCCTTATCAAAATTTGTCATTTAACAAAGTTGATAGAAAAATGAAATTCCTAACTATTCTTCTGTACAACAATAAAATCACTACAACTATTGATAACATCATTAAAAATTATTAATTGACTTAATGAATTATTAGTGAATAGAGTTATTTGTTATGCAATTAAAAATTTTAAAGGGAAAGATATAATTTTTAAACCTATAGACCAATTAATATTTTAAACAAACCTCATAGTGTAATTACAATTTACCAAAAAAAGGTAAATTACACTTTGTCCTCTTTATATTTGTCATTTCTCACTTTGGTCCTTAAATTTTTTTTTTTTTTTTTTTCACTTTGGCCTTTTATGTTTTAAGTTTTTTCTAATTTATTCCATAAGTTTATTTATATCCAAAATTAGATTGAAAATGACACATTAATAGCCACATAAAATAAAAATATTTTATTGTATATAACTTATATTTCTAACACAAATATGAATTCCAATATAATAATACAATTTTTATATTGTATGACATTTTCTATCTAATTTTGAACAAAAAATAACTTTAGGAGTAAATTAGAAAAACTTAAAACATAAAAGGCTAAAAGTGAAAAAATAAATAAATTTTAAAAATCAAAATAGAATAATGGCCAACCATAAAGGGGCAGAATGTAATTTACCAAAAAAAAATAGTCACCGTTATACTTTCTTTAGAAGGGGCCCTTTTCCCTCCATGCGCCTCCCCGTCTCTCTCATCATAAAAATGTCTTTGTGCAAAATTTGGTCCTAAATTTCCTCCAAAGCTGTCATTCTTTCCTCCTCCCTGGATTTCTTGAATCCAAACTCATCCTTTCTTTGTTCCTAATGTTGACAGAAAAGGTATGATCTTCACCCATCTTCTCTCATTGCATTCCTTATCATTATTTTGTGTGTGTGTGTATGTGTTTTTTTTTTTTCTTTTCCCCATTCTCTGATGATTAAATATTTTATGTCTCTGACAATGAATTGAATTTCCCATTTTCTTAATGGAAGAATTAAAAATAGGTTCTTGATGGTCTGTTATTTTGGGTGTTTTTTTAACCAAAATTGTGCTTTTATCCCTTCTTTTTTATGAATTTAAATTTGATGTTTGGCATCTATTGCTTATGGGCATTATGTGTTTGAATTTGTGGAATATGTGTTTCCATTGGGTCACCAGGATCATATCATTTGATCCCTCATTTTGTTTTTTTTGAGATAGTAAAAACAATATTTTGATTCTCTATATTGGTTTTTTGGAACCTTTGATTTCGTGGAATATTTACAATTTGATGGGTTGCTCTCTGTGTTGCATGTGGGCATAGTAAATCTCTCATAAGGGTTTTTGAAAGATACATTTGGATGTTTTGGTGCCAAAATCATGGTTTTTGTTTTTTTCGTCTTCATTTCTTCTCATATTTTTTGGAAGTAAATTAAAGGGTGGCTTGGCCCAACAATAAGGTTTGTTGTTGACTTCATGGTGGCGCAGGTTTGAGTCATGAAAACAATCTCTCCAAATATAGGGTAAAATTGCATACATTTTGTCTCTAACCCCGCTTTAGTGGGTGTTTGTGCGGTCGGTCAACCTTTTTTGATATATGGAAACGAAATGAAGCATACTATGATTTTGTAGGTTGGTGTGTGTTTCATTTAAGAAAGGTATTTCTTGGGGTTATTCCTAGGAAAAATCAAATATTGTTTTATTGTTTTAGATGTGCTATGGGTTGTGTCTTATATGAATACTTGGAATTGAACAAAAGTATGTTCTCATGACACCTATGTGATTAATAAATACTGGATTCAAATATTTAGAAGGAAAATATGTTATTATTCTTGGTTCCATTAGATCACGTACATTTCCATTTTTCTTTTGATTACTTCTTGATATCATAGTTTTCATGATTATTTTTCTTCTAAGATTTTTGTTTCTTGTACAAATAGACTTATTTTATTTGCCATTCTTGAATAGAACGAAGAGTCTTACGAACCACTATCTAATGGATGTTGGTAAAGGATCAAATAATGCCAAAAAAGTTAGAATTCCAATACACGCTTCACATATTTTCTTGCATAAATTTTTATACACTTCTATATATTTGTATACACTTTTCACATATTTCAACCCATCCTTGACCACCACCCATTGGACAGTGGTTAGCATTTTGTTTAAAAGAATTCAAAGATATTTTTCACCAACACATTCTCTCTCTCCCTCTCTCTCTCTCTCTCTCTCTTATTTGGACTTCATTGTTTGGTTTCATTTTCACTGCAGATGGGATGAAGACGTAAATAGGTATGAAAGGTTCAAGGGTTCTAGACTTCTAGATTTTTTATTTTTTTATTTTTCAAGTTTGAGTTATCTCCTCTCTAGCCTATCAAAACATGTTCTTATTGTTTTATTATATTATCAATTTGAATTGGATAAGGATTCAAGAAAAATAAGATCTATGATGTGATTTTGTTTTCTTCATGGTGTGAGAGCATGGTGCAAAGCAATGTACTTTTGATACTTCTAAAGGTTGTATACCTCCATTTATTCACTTGATTTTGTTTATGTGTTTTGAAGGAATTCAGATGGAGGAAGAATTGCAAACTGAAGATAATGTATATTATTTTAATCCTTCTATCCCTTTTGTTACGTTTTCAGATCCTTCCAGAATGCCTGAGAACTGTACCTTTTCTTCTTCTTTTTTTTGGCTTTTAAATGGTCAGACGTAGTTTAGAAAAGTTCAAGTTCTACCAAGATTAGAAATTAGAAGTATTTAAAGCAATTTAATATAATTTTCTCAGCCCCAGAGGACAATTTTGTTAGAAACACTCACTGTTCTTTTGGATGTATCATTAAAATTGAGTCAGTTACGGTGGTTTTCACATTTTCATTCCTTTGGTACAAAGTATTTCTTATAACATTTGAATGCAATGGTGGTGAATTTGATACAGAGGTTATGATGGTCACTTAAAGTGAAATTTGACGAAAATTATATGTTTCGTGAATCCTGTGAGACAATTATTTCACAAGTGTGAAAGGAAACAACTAGGTGCATTTCAACCTTATCAGAAACACAATCATTTCAAGGCCTCTTGTCAGAAGAGATCATAATGAATTGATTTGGTATGCAAGGGGCTATCCAAATACACATCACAAATTATGCTATTTGACTGATTTTGAGAACATGGTTTTGCTTCTTTTTTCTGTGGAAGTTTACAAGCATCATATGATCGAGAATTTTATTTTATTTTATTTTTGCCAGGAAGACAACATTGTGAAGCTTTGGAGCTCACAATAATATCTGCAATAATTATATCAAAACTTGGTGAGGTCTTTTCTTCGAAATTATAACAATTTGTTGACAGAAGTTCTTTCACTCTCTCTGAGAGATCTTGCTTTGTCTGCAGATTTGTTAGTTCACATTTTTCTTCAGTACTCTAGTATCTTGTTTCTATGGCGGAGGAGGTGATTGATATCCCGGCAACCCCAGAGCCAGAGGAAATTGTGCTCGAAGGTGATTTTTCAAAAACTAACTCCGCAGAGGAGATGATTGATATCACAGCAACCCCAGAACCAGAGGAAATTGTGCTCGAAGGTGATCATTCAACGAGTAACTCTGCAGAGAAGATGATTGATATCTCAGGAACTCCAGAGCCAGAGGGAATTATGCTCGAAGGTGATCAACATTCGAGGCACTCCACTGGAAACTTAATTATTTCAAAGAGAGAAGTGAAAGTCCTACCCCGTTATCTCACTGGTTCAATGGGTTCGTGCCATGATTATTGCAAATATGGTATAGAACACAACCTCGAGAAAAAGGCAAGGCATCCCAGTCTAAAAACAATCAAAGCAAAGGCAGGTGAACGCCGATATCAGCCTGAAATTATAATTCTAGAAGTGAAAAACAAGAAACCGTTGATCAGCTCAAAGCCTTTGGCCGATTCCAAGAGCCAAACAACTCATGACAAACACCAGGTCATTGAGAAAGAAGCTCCGGTATTAGCCAAGAAGATTGCTGTATTGGCCAAGAAAGTACCTGTATCTTCAAAACCTTTCTTCTCACCTGGTGACAGAATCGATGTTTCTGCAAAACACGTGAATGATTTAAGGCCAAAACCTGTGCAAACAAAGTCATCTCCTTTCTCATCACCAGGGCGTTTAAGCACTAGAAGATACAGTGAAATCCTTCCATGGAATGGAGGTCTTCAAGCAAGTCTGGTGAGAGGTTTAAGCAGTAGAAGGCACAGTGATACCGGCATAACTAAGGAAATGAGGACTTTAAAACTCAGAAAGAAAAACAATTTGTTGCCACCAGCTGTTTTTCCACCTCCTCCTAGGCCTCTTATCAAGAGAGAATTGACTGCAAAGTCTGGGCAACGTAAGGAACTGAAACAAGTTTATCGTCTGAAAAGTCAGAATGGTGTTAGAAGAGCTGAACCCAAGCAACCCATTGCTGAAAAAGTTCCAGAAAAGATGATATACGTCGTTACAACAAAACCTGTGAACCTAACTGTGGGAGTCACAAAAAATGGTAACAAAAAATTGGAACAACATCGACATGGAATGCCAACCTCTCAATCACTCCCATCCACTGAGAGCAAGAAACTGAGACACACACAAAATGGTATTCACAGCAATCAATCATCTTCATTGTCACTTCTGTCCTCTGAGAAGAAAACTTTGAAACATACTACGCGAAATGGTATTCACATCAATCAATCATCTTCACTGTCATCTCTGTCCTCTGAGAAGAAAACTTTGAGACATACTAAAAATGGGAATCGTAATGCTCCATCATCTGCATCTGCACTATCCTTATTGTCATTATCTGGGTCTATGAAGAATGACAAAAAAGACCCCATCTCTGAAGGCAGTGGAACTAAAACTGAGAACCGAATGGCAAGTCACACTAAGAGGCCTAGAAGGGTTGTGAGAGTTAGCTCGGAAATCAAAGTTTGCACACCCATGAAACTTAATTTCACTAGAGGAAAGGTGATTGAGGTCCAGCCTAGGAACCATATTCCAAGGATACTCAGATTTAAACAAAGAAGGGTTCTGGGTGAGAACCACAGTGGCAAGGCTGATATTAAGCAGATAAACTTCGGGAAAATAGTTGGTACTGCTGATTTAAATGGTTCTGAAACCAAATCTACAAATTTTATTCTTAGACACCAGTCTGTAGAAGGAAAGAAAGATGCTCAGAGTTTGTTGAACAATGTGATTGAAGAGACTGCAAGCAAGCTTGTTGAGACCAGGAAGAGCAAGGTTAAGGCTTTGATGGTTGAGGTCCAGCCTAGGAATCATATTCCAAGGATACTCAGATTTAAGCAAAGAAGGGCACTGGGTGAGAACCACAGTGGCAAGGCTGATATTAAGCAGAGAAGCTTCAGGAAAATAGTCGGTACTGCTGATTTAAATGGTTCTGAAACCAAATCTACAAATGTTATTCTTAGACACCAGTCTGTAGAAGGGAAGAAAGATGCTCAGAGTTTGTTGAACAATGTGATCGAAGAGACTGCAAGCAAGCTTGTTGAGACCAGGAAGAGCAAGGTTAAGGCTTTGATGGTTGAGGTCCAGCCTAGGAATCATATTCCAAGGATACTCAGATTTAAGCAAAGAAGGGCACTGGGTGAGAACCACAGTGGCAAGGCTGATATTAAGCAGAGAAGCTTCAGGAAAATAGTCGGTACTGCTGATTTAAATGGTTCTGAAACCAAATCTACAAATGTTATTCTTCGACACCAGTCTGTAGAAGGGAAGAAAGATGCTCAGAGTTTGTTGAACAATGTGATCGAAGAGACTGCAAGCAAGCTTGTTGAGACCAGGAAGAGCAAGGTTAAGGCTTTGATGGTTGAGGTCCAGCCTAGGAATCATATTCCAAGGATACTCAGATTTAAGCAAAGAAGGGCACTGGGTGAGAACCACAGTGGCAAGGCTGATATTAAGCAGAGAAGCTTCAGGAAAATACACATAAATTTCAACTAAATTTATGACACGTATAGAGCCTATGATAGGAAGGTTGTAGATAATCACTTCCTAAAAAAAGATCAACATGATTCGTTGAAGTACATAAATAAAACGACGGTATATCTCAACGACGTTATTCAAGATGCTCAAGTGACACGTGGAGGCTACGAAAGTGACACCTGTAGAGCCTACAGCAAGGACACCACACAGGATGAAACTCCAAAGATCAATCCGGTTAATCAGATATACGATTAATCAGATAGCACTATTATTCAAAATTCAAATGGCGTTATCATTCAATTTGAAATTCAAATTGAAGATAAAGCATTCTTATCACCTGATGGCCCCCCGTAAATATGAGGACCATCACACAAGACGGGGATCAGAAAATCAGAAGTGGAAAAGATCAGAGAGAGAGAGAAAGAAATTGAGAGCTAAAGAAATCGTTACAAGAAATAAGAAGAGAAGCCTAGAAAACTCAAGAGCCTACGCTAATGACGATGAATAGGTAAAGGGTTCCAAACCCAAGAATTGTATTTTATATTCAAGGGTTCAAAACCCATAACAATTTCAATAAAATATATTTTTTTTTTTAAATTGTCTTTTGTTGTTTATTTTGTTCTTCATTAATCGAAGGTTTCATTTGTATAAAATGTGTAATTAATGATCTGAAATACAGATCGGAAATAAGAACCTGCTATTCAAATAATCAACACTGTTTAGTCCAAAAACTAAACAGTGGACATTTGTAACATAAATTTTAAAATGTGTTGAAACACTTCATGTTTTAAAATTTGTGTCTATAAATTCTGGCACACCCAGTGGGACTTATTTCTCCTCCCATCTTTTGAAGAACAAAATATATATATATATATATAGTTGAAACTTACTGATGTATTCTTTTGTTATAGGAATGCTGAAGCAACTGTCAGGAGACAAACCTACACTCCAGTGGTTTTGAAATCACCAAGGGTGGAGATAGCACCCATCACCCAAGGGGCTCCGGAGCGAATGCTCTTGACTGTCCCAGAGGTAGAACTAACGAAATCCTAGAAAGATGCACTTCTTTCCCCTATCGCCCAAGGGGCTCCGGAGGGAAAGCTCTTGGCTGTCCCGAAGGTAACTGGTGTGACGAAGAAAGTTACACTTCTCCAGAAAGCTGAAAGTTTGAGAAAGATTACTGAAGATTATGTGAAAGCGTCAAAGCAGTACGCAACTGTGAGGGCCACAGCCCGAACGAAGAGCTTTCTAATTCAGGCAAAGGAGGCTAATCAGTTTGCAACTATGACTTTTGTTGCAGCTTCAACGGGGGCAACAAAAAATGTTGTGGCCCAACTACTCAAAAAGGTAGAAGACTCCATTAAAAGGGTGGAGTTTGGCCAGAAGAAAGCCTCTGCTGAAAACATGGCCATCATTAGGGCCATTAGGAGGAGGGTAATGACCCAAACTCCTGTTGATGGAAAAAAGGCCCTTGTTGTTGAAAAAACAGTTGCGGCCTACAAACCGATAGTTCTGTTCAGAGCCCAAAATCGGTCAAACCAAATCTCAGTCAACTCTCAAGAGCCAAAGGAACACTCGTTGGCTCGACAGTATTCGAATAAGGAACACTCGTTGGCTCGACAGGGTTCGAATAAGGAACACCTGTTGGCCCGACAGAATAAGGAACACTAGTTGGCTCGACAAGGTTCGAATAAGGAACACTTGTTGGCCCAACGGGATTTGAATCAACATCAATTAGTCCGCTCTAAAAATGTAGGGACTGTTTTGAAAATTCATGAGGAATTTGCAAAAATGCAAACGGTTCCTTCAATGCCCTTAGGGGCTTGACTTGATATGTCATCCGGTCCAGTTTCAAAAAGACAAAGGCGAAGAAGAAATAAGGCCTTAAAGAAACTGGAACTAAGAACAGTGACAACAAATGTTATAGGAGCTATTAAAAGGGCTCTCTCGAAAGATGAACCCCAAAAACAAATTGAAAGTCCTGTCTTTGTTGGAAAATCCAAGGTGGAGGAAGGTAAGCAACCCTTGGGAAATATTTCTACTTTGGTTGAACTATCTATGGAGGGAAAAAAAAAAGGGGCCTGTAACAAGGTCCATAACTCGTCAGGCTCAAAACAAAGCATCGCAGTCAGATGCTTCAAATATGAGTAATGTTGTGGGGGTTGATAATCCTTTTATACGAACAAGATGATTCTAGCTCGTTCGTTTCAACGGATATTGGAAACAATGAATTGAGAGATATCAACAAAGTCGCAGTTATGATGACTGAGGTTGAGAAAGAAGGTAAAAATTCGCGGGTCCAACAAGACCAAGGTCTCAAGGAAAAAGTGGTGGCCCTACAAGAACAACTTGAGAGAAGAGAACGGGAAATGGCTGCTATAGCAAATGCAATAGTTACAGGCCCAAATGACAGGATCAGGAAGTGCACCCAAACAAATGACACAACCTGTTGTGGGGACATCCGTAGGCATACAAAGCACACTAGCCCCAGGGGGCAATGGTCCTTGTTACTCCGATCTAACCAGTGGTGGTATGAATCCAGTGCTCATGGCCATGATTGATGATATGGTGAGGAGACAAGTAAAGAAAGTCAAAGAAAAAGATGATGAGAACTTTCGAATAATTACAAAACCTTACCCAGCATGGGTAGATGCTGTTCCATTCCCTTCTGGTTTTTCCCAACCAGATTTCAAAATGTTTGATAGAACAGAAGATCCAAGACGACATGTGGTTCATTTTCTTTCGAGGTGCGGGCCAATAGCCCATAATGAGGCCCTGTGTCTGCAGCTATTTGTTCAATCACTTGAAAGTTCTGCGTTTACTTGGTATGCTAACCTTCTTGAGGGATCAATCCTAAATTGGGATTCCATGGTGAAGGAGTTCCTTAAACAGTTCTGCAACACACAAAGGCGAGTTGGAGTACCAGAACCGATTGAGACCAAGCAACGTGACAATGAGTCTGTTACAGATTTCATTGCAAGATGGCGCTTTTTGACATTTGCTTGTCCTTAAAAGTTTACACAATTAGAGTTAATTCGGATATGCCTTAACAACTTCCGACATGAGCTCTTTACGGCCCTTATGGCTCAAACTTTTGAAGGATTCAATGATCTATGTACTAAAGCTCATGATATGGAGCTGCATCTAGCTAAACGAAGGAGGACTAGGGCCATTGAAAGGGTTGAGTCCTCGACTGCAGCTACAATCGAAACCAGAAAGAAGGGTCCCGTTGTAGTAGGGGCTAAAAAACCCAAAGAATTTAAAAAGGTGACTATGAAAGAGAGGTTGGAGAAGAAATATTCTTTCATGGATGATTTGATCGAAGACCTATTTGAAGATCTATTGGAGCAAAAGTTTATTGCTCTCCCTGAGGTGAAAAGACCACATGAGGTAGGAAAGACCAATGATCCAAAGTATTGCCCCTACCATCGTTTGATTAGCCATCCGATAAAAGAGTGCTTTGTTCTGAAAGATAAAATTCAGGAACTTTTGGACTCTAAAATTATCGAACTCCCTCCTCAAGAGAAAGCATCTGCTAACCCAATCACTATCGACAATGATAATGAAGGTGAATGAGTTGTTTATCAATCAAAAAGCATGAAGAAAAAACAAAATGCCACAGTGAAAGCTAGAAGTGTGGTTGATTCAACAACACAAGGGCCAAAAGTTTCCAAAAAGCAAAAACCAAAAGTTTCTAGGAAACAGAAAAAAGCCAAAGTAAGTAAGAGAAAAGAAAAAAAGAACCTAAAGAAAGAAAAAAGAGAGAAATTGGTCCCTGATGAGCAGTTAGAGCAAGGTCCTCTTGTCCCAGTCACATTAGAGGAATTTCTACCTTCAAAATTTCAATCTGTGGAGTTGCAGACATACTTTGATAAAAGAAAGGAGGAAAAGTTTACTTTGGCCCCTTGCCTAACAATCATTGTTTTGAGTGATGGCGAGGAAGATGAGGGTGAAGTTGGTTCAAAAGTTAGGGAAGGAGATTGGATTACATCTCCTATCTGCATACCTGACTCACCATAGTATACACCAACTTCTCCAGAATACACACCAGCCTCTCCAGAATATACACCAGCCTCTCCAGAGTATACGCCAAAAGCCTTTTCTCCGGAGTATTCGCCAGTACCACCAATGTACTATCAAAGTACTCCAGAATATGTAAGGGAAACAGAACAAGGAGACATTGGGTGTAGGTCCGACTCTAAGCTTGTGAAAAAGGCGAAAAAACAACTACACTTCAAGGATGATGAGGTGAATGGCAGGTGTATGTCGGATGATGAAGTATGGAAACATTCAAGTAAACAAGCAAAGTCATCTCAAGTGGAGGATCCTAATGAAGATTGGGAACTTGACTTTTCGCCTGATAGTTCACCATACACATCCCCAGCTAGGACATACGATGGAGAAAGTGTATCAAGTGACCACTTTGACTTTCCTTGTAATGTCATCACTGTGGATGTAAATTTTGAAGAGCGAGAAATACATATCATTCGCAATCCAGGTGATGATGAGAAAGCAAAAATTAAAGCTAGAAGAGAAGCGGAACATCAAGCAAAAGTAACAGTCTCTTTGAAAGATGAGGGTTTTGAAGCCCATCAAAATTTGATTATTGAAAGAAATCAAATTTCTGGACACCCTTTCCCTAATTGGGTCGAATGGGTTCAGTTCCCACGAGGATATGCAGTACCTCGTTTTCCTTTATATAATGGGACAGGTTGCCCAAGGCACCATTTGGTTCGTTTCCTTGCATAATGTGGAAACACAGCAAAAAGTCAGGCGTTACTTCTACGGCAGTTCGCTCTTTCTTTGGAAGGATGGGCAGGAGATTGGTACTTCAGCCTGCCACCTAATTCAATCCCAAATTGGGACACCATGGCTGATCGATTCTATAGGACATTTTATAAACCATGGCCAATAAAAATTGAGATGTTAGAACATTTGGATGACGAAGGTACATCTTCTCAAACATATGATTTCATAGAAGGCACAATTGAGGAGAAGATTGAAACTGCCCTTGATCT